GTCATCTTATAAGTTCACAATGGTGAAGATGTTATGAATTATTGTAAGAACATTGACATTTGTCGATGGTACGTTGTTCGTGATAAATTGAATATAATCAGCAAAACCGGGAGAGTTAGGAACTATGTCCAAATTACCAGTAAGGAATCTGAAAAAGGGATCTGGGAAATTACGTTATATAAACTGAGATAACTTGAAGATGATTCTTCTTGAGTAACAGCTAGATTTGTGACATCTAATCAATATCCTAGCATACTTTACCTCACCGTTCTTTCTACTGCAAGTAATTTGATATCATGAATGATCTCTGCTAGAAATGTTCAATATTGGAACAACTGAAACCAAACTTCACTCTCAATAATCTTTAATCGACAACAAGAAATGCACCAGAACCACAACCAACAAGACCACCCCAGTCGAACCACCCCTCCGCGAACCATTTCTAAGCATGACACCATTAATAAAATCCAGATACTTATCCACCCTGGTGTACACCCCAGGATACCCATCCCCACACCCAAACCCCCAACTAACCACCCCATACTGCGCCCCCTCGCACATCAAAGGCCCCCCCGAGTCCCCCTGACAAGCGTCCATCCCCAACGTGTTGGTGCACAACACGTTGACCATATCCGAGCCAGGGTAATAGCCGGAGCAGTCCCGGAGCGAAATCGGCGGTAATTGGACGCAGTTCAGCGTCGTAGACATGTCCCCTTCGGAGAAGCCGTTCTTGGTCCTGCCCATGCCCATCACCAGGACCGACTGGGGGCACACGTCGTCTTCGGTGGCGTTATTGTGGGGGGGCAGAGTGACGTAGCGGATGAAGTCGTTCTCGTAGGCTGGGGAGGCTAGGCGCATCAGGCTTATGTCGTTTCTCATGCTCTCCTTCATCGAGAAAAAGATAAACAGTCAATACTTCTTCCTGGAGATTGGTGGAACCATCCCTGTTTCCTCGTTCATTTGCCGAACCGGTTATGAGGTAGTTTTCAATGAAATATCGAAACTGTATTGTATAAGTTCAATAAAATGTACTTGCACGTGGACGAAATTCAAGTAGTCGGTTTCTTTGCGGTTATACAGGATGTTCCTTGAAGACATGCTAATATTTGAGGGGGCGATTCTTCAACTCATTTTGAGAAGAAACTTCATATGCATGTATGTCCTAGAAGTCTTAACTTTTGAGATACGGAATGATGAAGCTTCGGAAAATATTCAGTTTTTTGATAATTTCTGAGACAATATTGTATACATCTTCATGAAATTTGGTACACATCTTTTATGCATGAAGGTGCATTTTATAATGTACAAAAATTTTCATTTTCTTTACCAGTGGCACCGTTCCGGGAAAATTATTGTTTATATTTTACTTAAAAGTGAGCAACGACAAACAAATATCAAATTTTATACAATGTCATAAAAGACGTTTCAATTATGTTCAAAAAAGATCCTCTTGTTGATACTTGACAGAACGCTTCGTTTTCGAGAAAAAACGGAAAAACGAGACTAGACTTCAAATTTTCATGTCTGAGTAACTCCATTCAGGACATTTATTACTGGATAACCACAGTATGTAACATTTTGAAATTTGTATACCGATTCAGTCACATAGCAGACTGAATTTTGCCATCACAAAAAGCCATACAGGGTGGACAAAAAAAATCTATGCATATTTTCAACATTGGCACCCTGTATCTCAAACGTTAGGGCGTTTACGACATACGTTCATATGAAGTTTTATTCTTGAAATGGGTCGAAGAATCGGCCCCTTGAATACTAACATATCATTAAGGAACACCCTGTATACAGTGGGCCCCATTAGCTAAAACTTGTAACCCCTCCCCTTATATCTGGAGTCGTTGAGAAAATTGAAAATCGCTCGAACAGGTCGATTTCAATTTGGCGGGGGAAATAATTTCCTACAATTATCATATTCCGAAGTTGAAATCTTGAAGCGTAACGGGCATCAACGATTCAAATGGAACACCCTGTATGTAATTGCATCTTTAGATTCTCCCTGAAGAGCTGATTTCATCAATGTATTACACTGGGGTCTAGTGGGGAGACGATAATTCTTTTGGACGTGTCGTGGGTCTTGATTGAAATGAAAATGGGTCGATTTTTTTATGAAATCATATCAGGAATTTTTTACAGGAAAACTAATTGCATATTATTGTTCTTCGTGCTTTCGAACCTCCATATGCAAAAAATCACTTCATTACGAATTAACAGGATTGGCTTAATTTTTCTCATTTTCTGCCTCGCAAAAGTAGTGAATTGATCATATTTACTGTGAATATTGAGACGTTCAATACCTCTGGTAGGTGAAGAAAAGTGATTTAAAAGAAAAAAACAAGATATACTTTTTTTTAGGCACCGTTTCCGAGTAAATAATTATTTAAGTCCGCAAAAATTTAAATTAAAATGTGCCTGTTTTTTTGAAACTCCTCATAGAGATCATGGAAATTCACATTTAGGGGTTTGAATCCACGATGAACAATATTATGAGGTCAGTTTTCCTCTGAACAAAATCCTCATATGATTTCATAATGAATTTACCCCTTCTCATTTTCATAAAATCACACGGCGCTATCCAAAATGATATTCGTCTCTGAAAATCTGATCATATTGATGGTAATTGACACTGGTTCAAAATTGGTAAGAATCGAACAACTAACAGCTGGAACATAGAGGGGAGCTATTTGAAGTGAGACTGTAGCTGTATAGAACATTGTGACTACTTTAATTTTTTATGTTTTCTTCATGTCTTTCTCATATATTTTCAATAAAATGGAAAGTTCCTACTGGTACTGATGGGAGACGTTTGCACGTCAGCAACTAGTCCCTAATGGGACCTTTTTGCAAGCCCTAAGGTGGTTTCAATGACTGATGTGGTTCGCTTAAGAGAGCTGGCTACCATCCTTTTCAGGCACCGCCCATCAGCTCTCTTTCAGAGTTTTTCGTCTGTGTTTTGTAGGCTAGTAATGTACTCACTACCATATGCTGCAGTGGCAGGCCTGCTAGCTATTCTCGTTATCCCCCGTTAGACACCGAGGTCCACTGAGCAGCTGGCCCGCTCTCTCACGTTCAGCTGGTAGTTTTTCCACACCCACCTACATACACCGTCCTACTTCTTCTCTGATGCTCACAACCACATCATCATCTCTTTCTGCGTGTTCTGTGTAGGCTTTGTTACTAACTCCATGGGCCACTTTAGTTGCAGCACTGTTAATTGGAACGCAACAGCGAATCGTGCAGGACTATCCCCAGCCGATGCTCCGAAACTTTACAATATTTAATTCGTAAATATTGTAAAGTTCCAATTAGCAGTGCTGCTCCTAAAGTATGTACATTTTCTATACAATGGAAAGTTCCTTAATAACGGATGAAACACAAATTTCGCTTTTTTCCTCCTGATTCGAATGCAGCCTCACAAAAAACGTGAAATCGCAGAGATAACGACTACTTGAATTTTGTCCACCGTTAACCATTTTACTGAGCAAGTAGGTATGATAAGAGTGTTATCTCCGTCTCTATTTCACTGACACGACTTAACGTCGTCCTAACTTGAGAATTAGCGGATTCTTGAATTCAGGATTTGAACCTGAAATGCACCAATAAAGACCCATTCTTCTCAAGTTAAGACTAACCTAAGTCGTGCATGACTTCAGCAAAAATTACCTTATCCCACTCAGGATACGGGTACTGCTTCTTGACCACCGTCCAAAACGACATCGAGTTCAGCTCACCCGTCGAGAACCCCATCAAGGCGTACTGGTTGGGTTTGTCGCAATGGGCAGCCGTCAACACCCAGAACATGCTCACCAACGAACCACCGCAGTAGTGGTGACCGAAGGGTCTGTGTAGGGCCACGAAATGGGGATGGACTTGTTCGCATTTGGAGCCTCCGACGATGCGAGGGTTGAAGGAGTTCTCGATATCTGGAGAGGTGTTGGCGGTCAGAAGACCGATGAAGAAGCAGACTAGGATTGAATCGCGCAGTTTTGGCTTGGCAGAAAATTGACACATTGTTAATGACAATGTGTCAGTCGATGAGTCAGTCGTGGTGTCAGTAGTATCTCCATTGCTTTTGACTATACCTTTTCAACTTCAATTTCGGAAAAAGTAATCTCGATTTCAGAATTGGTTAGTTCGATTTCAGAAATGGTAAACTCAATTTCAGAATCGGTGAGATGAATTTCAGAAAAAGTCCATTCAATTTCAGAAATGGTAAGTTGTATTTCAGAATTGGTAGGTTCAATTTCAGAAAAAAAATCCTTATATTTGTTCGAAATGTTTCCAATTGTATGTGAGATTAACAAACCATATTTGCAATATTCAACTTGTCAAAAACAATTCAATAACATGATTATAATCTCAATTTAATCCACAGATGCCTTCCACCCGAATCGCTGGAAGATAATAGCGTTGCACATGATTATGAGAATGCAAACACATTTGAGGTGTTATCATTTTCATTGAATGTTCTGCACATTCCTCAAGACATCGCAGTCTGAATTCTATCTGGTTGAGCAAGCTGTTCAGATCCCCAGCTATGACCCTTTGGCGATACTCTTGCAAGAAGCTCTTCACTTCTGACTTGAAGGCACCCCATATTTATGTTCGATCTGATTCAACATAGGGCTCTCAAACACCGTTCATCCACTGTGAACAATCTTCTCTTCTGCAATTAAAAACATTCCAAACATATAAAAGGATTTCATCTTCTGAAATTGAACCTACCAATAATAATTCTGAAATACAACTTACCATTTCTGAAATTGAATGGACTTTTTCTGAAATTCATCTCACCGATTCTGAAATTGAGTTTACCATTTCTGAAATCGAACTAACCAATTCTGAAATCGAGATTACTTTTTCCGAAATATAACTCACCGATTCCGAAATTGAAGTTGAAAAGGTATAGAGTTCCTCGATTGGTGACCATATTTATTAAGAAACTCAAATACAATTTGGTTTTGAAAAAAATAGCAAATCCCATCCTAGAAGTCAATTATTCCACCCGATAGTCTTCCTCCGCATGTAGAAGAGTAAATGAGGCTTGTGTGTCCTGCTATATGTTCCATTTGGAAGGCATCGGTAAAATAGTGGCCCCTAGTTGCCTTATCGCCCACGTGGTTGACCACGGCAAACAACATATACTTCCTTCCATCGGGCGTTTGTGACTTCGAAGATAACAACCTCGATTCGACTTCTAGGTCGACAGGGAATTCCAACGACTTGATGATTTTCGTACAATCGTCTGGCTTGACATCGAAAGATTTCAGATGCAGACTGAGAATAACTGGCAGCACATCCAACATCAACTGCTGCCACGCCTGTACCACTTCGTTTGTGTTAGGAGAACAATCCTTCCAGCTGCTCCTTATTCACAAGAGTCTCCAGAGCCTCTTTGATCGTCTTCACTTTGTCGATATTCAGTTGCAGAGTCAGGAACGGTTGAATATTCTCCGCCACTGGCCACCAAAAATAGTGCGCATTGACGTCTTTTCGAAGACTGTACTTTTGTTTTGGCGTCTCCTCTAGTGGGGAAGAGGGTACGACAAATTCCACATGCTCACCAATGAACCGCCGCAATAGTGGTGACCAAAGGGCCTGTGCAGGGTCAAAAAGTGAGGATGGGCTTGGTCGCATTTGAAGCTTGCGACGTTGCGAGGATTGACGAAGTTGTCGATATCTGGCGAGGTCTGGACGGTCAGGAGGCTGATGGAGAAGCAGACGAGGATGGATTCGCACAGTTTTGGCTTGGCCGAAAATTGACACATTGACGATGATAATGTGTCAGTAGAATCTCCATTCCTTTTGATCTAACAAGGATTTGTTTCAACATTTTTCCTCATAAGTTCATTCCTGGCTCTATAGCTCTGTCTTCTGATTGAGTTTCATCATCCTGTTTGCCAAATGGTATGATAGGATAATTTCCCAGAATTATTCATATGCAGGACGATAAGGCTCTGCATTCGAAGACGAGAAATGGAAGGCTGTTTCTTCTTCTTCATTACCTAATCTGCATGGTATGGTGGTGCATCACTGATGCTCATAGGATACAGGTGCCCTTATCACTGACCCACCTTGTGGTCTATCTGGTTTCAGAAGATGAGCAGTTGTAAATGATGATTGTATTCTCATCTTCAATCTGATGTATTGATCCACACAGCGATGATTCGAAGTTGTAGCCTTTGTTATACCAATAGCTAGTTTTGGACCAGTGAAATGTTTTCGACCCTTTTCTAAAAAGTTCGTCTGCATTTTCATTGCCATTCTTCCTTTCATGGTCTGGCCCTCACGCAAGATGACAATAGGTTTGTGGATACACATAACCATAGAATTCACTTTTACTGTACACTACAAAAGTAGAAATTTGTTGATATCTGCATGTTGACCCCACATGTTGACCTTCAATCAACAAAATAAAAACATAAGCGCAGTATCATCAATTTTTATTCAAAATGTAAATGAGAATGAAACAAGACATCGCAGTGAGTATCGGACCAGAGTGAACTTTCTCTCCTGAGCTTCGCAACATGATCGCGCTCAATATGAACCCCAAATGCTTGTCCGTCCTCGTATACACGCCTGGCGACCCCTGGCCGCACCCTATCCCCCAACTCACTATCCCGTACTGCACCCCCTCGCACATCAAGGGCCCCCCAGAGTCCCCCTGGCAAGAATCCCTTCCCACCGTATTGGTGCAAAGAACGTTGATCAGCTTGTCGTTTGGGTAAAGCTTCCTGCACTCCTCCAGAGAGATCGATTCTATGTGCACGCAGTTCAAAATTTTCGACAGTTCGTCGTCACCCGAATGCCTAGTGCCGAACCCCATCGCCAGCACGTTGAAACACGGTCCCTGCTCCAAAGCGCCTTCGTACGGTTTCTTGGGCAGCTCCACGAACTGCACGTATCGGTTGGTTTTCAATGGCGATCCCAATCTGGCAACTGCGACGTCATTCAAGGTTGTATCGTCGTCATACAGGGGATGCTGGAAGAAGCGCCAGATCTTGGTCCAGGCCTGGTAGGGCTTGAAGCTGGCCAACCTGAAGCCGACCACGGCGAAGAGGCCCTTCGTTTCGCAATGGGCCGCAGACAGAACCCATATGCTGCTCAGCAAAGATGCGCCGCAGATGTGAGAGCCTAGGGGCATGTGGAGGGCCACGTAGAAGCGGTGATCTTCGCGGTCGCATTTTTTGCCTCCAACTATTCGCATTTTGTGGGGTGCGTCCGTCTTGTTCACTTGAGTGGTCGTGCTTTCTACGGAGACGACACTTTCTACGGAGACGACGCTTTCTACGGAGACGGTGTCTTCTTGAGCTACGTTACCGTTGAAAATGGCAAGCGAGATGCACAAGAATATAAAGAGATTAGCCATGACGCGTCTCTTCGAATTTTGATCGATTACTTTTTGAACAGAGTTGTCTACGAAACGTCGTTAATTTCGTCTCAAGACTGAACACGACATACTAATGTCATAATGACAGTCAACTTCCGAAATGTGTCATGCTACTTTTACAATCAACATTACTCATTCTTTATACAACTATCACCTTGAGCCAAGAACCTGAAGACAATACCGATGTCGAAAGTACTTCAAGTTACAACGACACCAGTGTCAGAGAGTCCAGCAGAACCAACAGTCTCAGCAAGGAGCATCACCGCATAGTGGGAGGAAAGCCTTGCGTAAAAGAAAACCACGGCTTCATGGTATCCATCCGCAGACCTCTTCACCAACACATCTGCGGTGGGTCTCTTCTGAGTCGTCTGTGGGTTCTTTCTGCGGCTCACTGCAAAGCATGGTACTGCTCGGCCATCATCGGTCTGACGAACGACAAAACCGATATCGACAGCAGTATAGTGTCTTCTTTCGCAGAATGGAAACCTCACCCGCATTACCAGAAAGCCAAGCTCATCAACGACATAGCATTAGGCAAGCTAGAAGAGGCTGTAGAGTATGACAGCTTCGTGAGGTTACCGAACAAGCCTGTTTCCACGGACGATTTGCTCTCTGCTTGTGGGCGGAAGGCGTTGGTAATGGGCTGGGGAGCGATGAGCCACTCGATAGCACAAGCGACAGAGAAGCTGCAATGTGTGTACTTGCCAGTCATTTCTAAGGATGAGTGCCTGGGACTCTACAGCTCCTACAATAACCCTGTGAAGCTGATGTCAATAGAGCAGGGCATTTGCACGTTCTCAGATGAGAAGAAGGACGCTTGCTCAGGAGATTCCGGGGGGCCTCTTCTTTGTGAGGACGTTCAGTACGGGGTAGTGTCTTGGGGGAAGGACTGTGCGGTTTTTCCAGGGGTTTACACTCGAGTGGATGTTCATTTGGAATTTATACGGTTAACCATGTTGAATAAACCGTTCGTTTTCTCTGGTGCAAGAAGGATCACCCGATTTTCTGCAGTGCAGATGGTTTTGATGAGTGCTTTAGTTTTGTTGACTCGGAAAATGAATGGTGTTCCAGATGTTCCAAAGTAGTGAGAGTACCAGAAGTTTTCACTTATTATTATCACTTTGGAATTTGTAGTGATTTATTTCAAACGTAATATAACAATGAATTATATTTGGTTTTGCTGAATGTTCTATTCATAATAGCTAAGGTCCCTTGAGAGGAATTGACGTTAAAGTAATCTTAACAATAATAGCTAACTACCTAACTAGGTTGTCATCTAGAACGACAATGGTTAAGTCGAGTTAAGTCCATTTTGTCACACTGACGTAATCTTTTGACGATACTGTCAACCCAAAATATGAATGTTTCGAAGAAAATCATAGCCAGAGATCATAACCAAATCACTGTGATGCTCCTGCCACATCTTCTAATGATACTCCTTCTACTCGGCACTCTCATCCTACCCGCTTTCACAGCTAACGAAAGCTTCAGAGTCCTAGGAGGCCACGTGTGCAAAAAAGACTACGAAATCATGGTGTCGATACGCGACTCGAAAACCGAGCTGCACACTTGTGGAGGCTCCCTTCTGTCCACCAAATGGATCCTCACGGCAGCTCATTGCTTCGCCAAAGGCGACTACGCGATCATCGGCCTCCTACCCACAGAGGACTTGTACAATTACAAAACCGGCATGAAAAGCCACCTGACAGGTTGGTATCCGCACCCTCAGTTCGACGAGAACGACAACAAGGAAGATATAGCTCTGGGTCGTTTAGAGCCGGAAGTAGATCTGGCTGCTCTGCCTCATGTCAGGTTCGTTTCTCTGCCGCAATCGCTCGTCACTGTGGAGTTGGCCGAGATTTGCAAAGACAAAGCCTTGTCGATGGGCTGGGGCACTACTGATTTTGACAGGCCGGTAGTGGAACGGAAAATCAGGTGCGTAGAGTTGCCGGTCATCACCAATGCGGAGTGCAAGGAGTTGTATAAGGAGAACGATGCAGATATAATGATATTCGATTCGAGTGTTTGTACGTTCAGCAAGAAGGGCTTGGATACTTGTTCGGGGGATTCGGGGGGGCCTCTCCTTTGCGGGGGGGTGCAGTACGGGGTGGTGTCTTGGGGCGATGATTGCGGCTTGTATCCGGGGGTGTACACCAGGGTGGACAAACATCTCGACTTCATTTCGGGGATTATGGGGAATAAACGGGCTTACAAGTCGGATGCTATCAGAGCGGTCCACCGTCAAGGTCGGTTTGCTGTATTGGTTATGGTGCTGCTTGGAATATGTAACATATATAGAGACTTATTTTCTACTGAGTATCTATAACGATGATGAGCAAGACTTGTGGGCATTATGGGGTCACTAATAAATCGTCTCAGATAGTCTCTAAATATTATTCTGAATCTTTCCGTGTTCAATGGTATGAAATATGATTCATAGTCACGACTTCAGTTGAAAACTACCAGGATAACGATGAAAATGATAGAACACCCTAGTAAGTAACAACGGGAAAGATGAAGAACTCCACTGTCCAAGGCAGAACTCGACTTCCACGAAAATCCCAACAGCTTTTGGCTAATATACTAATATATACTATAATATACAGAAGTTTTCGAAAATCGATCCTCGAGTTAATAAATAAAAACGGTTTTTCTCATTGATTTGAGAATAGTTGAATATTTCGCATTCAAATTCGGGTGATAGTTCTATCATTGAATTGGTAATTTTTTGAACAGAAAGTTACTTTTCTAGTGTTGCGCTACAGGTGGTTGTGGTAACTTCACTATCCATATTTTCTACGCCACTGATAGAATTTCTATTATTTTCAATTTCACAAATTCATTTGTCAATTTTGTTAAAAAAAATGCACCACCTTCAACTGAGTGAAATCAACAGTTTTCGAGATATTTGACCCAGAAAAAGTATGCATAGGTTTTTCTTCAGTAGAAAACAATATATGTCTTTATAGTAGGAGATCAGCATCTGCATTTTAGTTAAAAAGAGGTTTTCTTGTTTTAGAGGGTCTCAGTTTCAATTCAACTACCATAGAATCAAAGTAAAAATAAAGAGAAAAGATGTTACTAACCGTTCCATTATTAATTGGCAGCAAGTTCATTTCTACTCATTTAGAAGGTCTAGAGTGACGTTTTAATTCAGTGACTTGTGTATACTTGCGCATTTGAGTAACCACATGAAGTTATTTGTTATCATGTTATTCAATGTTATTCAACACGGGACCACAGGACTGACAAGCCAATGACTAACCACTAAGCTACTAACCGTCTTGAATCTTTTTCGTATACAGAAAAAATGTATTCCACTGAATGGTTGGCAGTTTAGAGAAAAAGTGTAGTCTGTGGACTGGTCGGCATCACAAAAAATAGTAAAGCCTGTCGACCATTCGGCATACTATACTTTTTTTTTGGGTTGCCGAACGATTTTATACCGAAAGAATGTATTCCACTGAATGATCGGCAGTCTAGAGAAAGAGTATAGCTTGCCGACTGGTCGGCAGCCTATACACTTTCTATTTGATAATGCAGCCTAATGCAATTGGATTTTGAACAAAATAAGCTTTCATTTGAGCCATACTTTGATTAAATAACTTATATAAGAATAGATTAATTACGCTAACTTACCTGTTTTCACCTAGCCACCTCATAGCTGCGGCTTGGGAAAGGCAGGCATCCTTTATTTTTTAACTTCCTAAGGGTATATTCTGTCAGCTAACACTCGACTTTATAAATAACAAATGAGGAAAGTTTATCAGAATAATGTAATTAAACATATCATTACTTAACATCACTTGTATTAGCTCGGATTTACGCCAATCAGAATGTTATCAAAGTCGATTTTCTCCTAAATGAACTAGGAGAACTTTTTTTACGTGAAAAACTATAGAATTTTATAATTTTGAATCGATATCACAATGACCTAAATATAAAAAGAAGAAGAAGGGATGTTTTTACACTTAACCTCCCCCGCATGTGACGCCCCTGAATAAAATTTTGCGATTTTGAATTCAGAGTCTTATTCATCATCAAATGTTCATGCCATGCACCAATTTTCGAAGATTTATTGTGGATGATTGTGAAGTTATAAAGGAAAAATCGTCTTTGAGGTGTCCTATTCAAAGGGGCGTAGCTCCCGGCTCAAGTTTCGTTTAGCTGAAATCAGTTATGGAAAAACTGTTGCCATGGCGACGATTTTCATGGTAACGAGTAAACAAAAATAATATTCCCGTGGTGAGGAAATGCGTGGTTGCCAAATTGTATCGGGTTTAGTATAGCTGAAATCAGTTATAGAAAAACTGTTGGCATGGCAACGATCGTCATGGTAACGAGTAAACAAAAATCCTATTCCCATGGTTAGGAAATGCGTGGTTACCAAATCTGATCGATGTTGAAAAATATATTTTTTTTAAGAAGGTTCATTTAGGCCGAGTTAGGTTAGATTGTTTAAGTAGTATCCTTCCTCATGCGCTATTTGTTCCGCAATATTTTGTCGCTCGCTATTTTGTCTAGCTCTGTTCAATAACAAAGCCTATTTTTTCCTGACGTTATTTCCATATATGATTGTCAGAGAAGTAGTTATTTGGGAATCAATCAACGTATCAACGACGAACAGTCTTCAAGAAATTGATAAGAAGGGTATTCATTCGAATCGAGTTATTGTTTGAATAGCAGCAAAACCTTATTGCAAGTCAAGGGACACAAATATACGGGAATATGATTTTTGTTGACTCGTTACAATGGCAATAGTTTTTCCATAACTGATTTCAGTCAAGCTAAACCCGATACAAACACGCATTTCCTCACCACGGAAATCGGGTTTTTGTTTACTCCTTACCATGACGATCGTTGCCATGGCAACAGTTTTTCCATAACTGATTTCAGCTATACTATACCGATACAACTTGGCAACCACGCATTTCCTCACCACGGAAATCGGGTTTTTGTTTACTCCTCACCATGACGATCGTTGCCATAGCAACAAATTTTCCATAACTGATTTCAGCTAAACGAAACTTGAACCTAGCTACCATAGGAAGCATTTTCGGACCCTTATTAATAGGAACTTTTTGCCTAATTTGTGTGCAAGGAACACGCCCCTGGAAGGATGCCGCTTACTTTTGAATCACCCTGTATGTATTATCTAACATTTATTTTTTCATCATGAGGGTATATATTTCTTATACCGTATCATAGACGCACCAGTAATTATTCTAGAAATGACACTCCGATGATATACGTCACGGAGAACGTCATGCAACTATCACGCTCTCTATCGATAACCCTCCTGATCGTCATCCTATGTGCCTCACAGGGAATCACCCCCAACGTGGCTCAACCCCGAAAACAGAAAATGCATAACCGCATCGTGGGCGGACACGTTTGCAAATCGAACTACGAGATCATGGTGTCGATACGTCAAGTACACACCGAGCAGCACAAGTGCGGCGGAACCATACTGAACCCCATCTGGATCCTCACGGCAGCCCATTGCGATGCCAAGGGCGATTACGTCGTTATTGGATTGATTCCCTCCGAGGACTTGTATTACTTCAAAACTGGTGAGTACCCAGCCAACATATCAGTATAAGTTCTATCCACTTATGGTTTACACCTGATGATTCGATATTAGATAGATAGATAGATCGGAGATGTATAGAAAATTTAACTGGTGAGCTCACTCTCCAATTGTTTCATCAGACTAACTCTCGATATGGAACAATTGCAAGCGAGTTTTGGACGTGGGGTTCAGGTATTTGCGATAGAGGCGCCATAATCGGGAAATCGTTCAAAACCTTGGTTCTGTGAGGGATGAATCTATTATTTCCATAATTGTTCTGTGGTCGAATAAATACTGTGCTCAACATTTTCATTCAAATTTCAATTTGAAATAGAAGCAAGAAATCTTTTTTGTAGCCGATTTTAATAAGCTTCACTTCTTTCATGACATGAACCTATTCAAAGCATGAAATCTGATGAATTTCCTCTTTGAAGAACCAGAACAAAGAATGAATCATGATAGGCAGATATGGTAACTGGTACCTACCTTAGAATTTATTCACACCAGTTCACGCTAATATTTCGAATCACTGAAATAATACTGTTGTCACAGTTTAAGGAATGGGTATCTGTTGTAGAACAGAGATTTTCTTTTTTTATGGTGGATTAGGCATTATACACAAAATTTTGAAACTACGGAACACGTCCCTAACGAACACTTGACCCCAATCTCAGAAATAACCATTTTTTCAGCTCAAGAATATTTCTGAGATATTGACGTTTCGAACCTTTGATCAGGAATCAGTTCACTGCTCTGATCCAAATCATATACGTATCCAAATATTTATCGGTCGGTAATATGTTTCCTGTAAATATAAATTGTAACCAGGATGAGCTTAGCGAGATTTACCCACGTCAAGTATGTTTATCAAAGGTTTATCAGAGTAGACGCCACCGAGAAACTTGCAAACGACCTTCAATAGGGAGCAAGCGCATCAGTTAAATTTCTATACATCTCTGATAGATCTTTATTTGCCATTAACGTGCTACAAAGAACATAAGGTTTTGTCACTAAAGCTAAAACTATTCATGCATGTATGAATAAATGAATAAATAAAATAATCATTTTCAAGTAATATCGCACACTCTCCATGCCCAACAGACACGCAGACAGAAATTATAAAAATAAACACCCGGTATCTCTCTCATCTTAATGAGAATATTACTATGTTGCTAAAAATTCATTGAGGTTATAAAAGCTTTTGTCCACTAGAAAGATATGCAATTTTCTTCTGAAAATATTCAAAGTTGCCGCTGATTTGATTTCTAACGGAAGTTTATTATAAATTAAGCTTCCAGCACAATGAAGTGATTTTCTAAATGTATTGGTAGTACAATTCAAGACATGGATTTCTTGAGCTCTCCTCGTCTTATACCCATGCACATCCTGTTTGAGTTTCAATTTGTTCTTATCTTTGTGAATGGAGCGTGCAATTTTGAATATACAGTTGTGACCCACTTCTAATGGAAACACCCCTGTATGTAATTTGCTGGAGCGAGAGATATACCAAAAATGCACTCTATGACCAAGTGGGGTCATCTTCAGTGATATGCAGCGCTCGCCACACCAATTTCTGGAAAATGACATTAGGAGTCAAAATAGGTGAAAAATCACTTCAGATTCGGAATCAGGACGCCCAATTCACTAACTATTCATATTTTTCCTGGAAAATTTTCAGTTCTGAAAAATTAAATTTTGTCGCACTTTTTACGGAAGCACCCTTAGCACTTTAGCTTTGGACTTCCCCTACCTCCTGCAAATTTCAGAACCCTACCTCAATAATTACGTGAGAGACAGGGGTGCTCCCATGAGAGGTGAGACAAAATTTAAATTTCCTGAACTGAAAACTAAGAATAGTCAGTGAATTGGGCGTCCTGATTCCGAATCCGAAGTGATTTTCAACCTATTTTGACTCCTAATATCATTTTCCGGAAATTGTAGGAAACGAAAAAAATAAGTATATCTATCAGATCCATCAACTTTGACCTCACGTCTCAATGGCGCGATCTGGTGGGCCATCAAAATATATCAGCCCACATTCTGGAGTCACTAATGTCACAGGTCACGTCGAAAAAGTAACGGTTCACCTTGAAGTAATCCATCCTTCTCTACATTCGTTGTTCTCTCCTAAAAAGCGAGTCAACACCCTCAATAGTCCCATGGTTGCAGGTATGAAGAACCAGATCGTAGATTGGATACCCCATCCGAACTACGACGAGAAAACCAACACCGAGGACATAGCTCTGGGCCATCTGGCGGCTGAAGTGAATCCCGCCGTCTATCCGAGCATCCAATTCGTCTCCCTGCCAGGCGCTTTCATCTCTGGAGAACTATTGGACGTCTGCAGTGGCCCAGCTTTGGTCATGGGCTGGGGCACCACTAGCTTCGATAATCCCGTAGTCGAAAGGAAGATACGGTGCGTGGATCTACCGGTGATTTCGCAGAGCGAATGCGCAGAGGCATACAGGGCGATCAACCACGAAACGTTCATCACCGATACCAGCGTCTGTACCCACACCGAGGAAGAAAAAGACGCTTGCTCGGGGGACTCGGGGGGGCCTTTGCTTTGCGATGGGGTGCAGTACGGGGTGGTGTCGTGGGGCACCAACTGTGCCCAGTTTCCGGGGGTGTATACCAGGACGGACAGGCATCTGGACTTCATCTGGGGCACAATGTCGACTTTGGAAAGGAGGCAGATCGTGTCTGGTGGAGTTGCAGTCGCGTCCGGTCGGTTCGCTGTGCTGTTATTGGTCGTGGTCGAATTATTCGTCTGAGCGTTATAAGGAGCTTGTTGTTGCCGTATCATGAAATTGTTAATATAAAAATCAACCTCTTATTGTACCAATTTATACAGAATCATTGTTCTTTGGAAAATAATCACATAAATATAATATGTCCTTACTTGAATCGCTTCCGTGATACAGGGTGTTGCGGTTAAGAATGTTATTAGTTTTTTTTTGCATAATCATTCTATATAAGCTCTCATAATGCAAAATGGGAGTATAGTTGATGGCTGAAAATCTGATTTATAACCATATAGATATCATTTTGAAATCATGGTACAGTGCGAGTCACATGACAAACTCATGTTTCGATTTTTCGACATTTCAGTGACATTTTCGTGTCAACTGAGTTTAAATTTTTTATCTGTGACGTGTAGAAAGTTTGAAATTTCACCTCTGTTGACATATTATGAAATGTCACTTCATAAATTACTTTTTTCCCAAGAGAAAAAAGTGAGTACTACTACTCATAGTGTTTGATGTGACATTTCATTTGTTATTTACTTTTTCAAAATCGGATGTCATTTAACCTGTATTCAGCAAAGATAATCCATAATTAATCCTTTCAAGATTAATTATCAAAGTAGAAACAACGGTGAGTTCAGGGTTGGTGAGGTGAAATATGCTAGGATATTGATTGGATATCACGGATCTAGGTGCTACCAGATACCTTAATGTTAATTCGGAAATATTCCATAACTTCTGGTTCTGCTGATTATATTCTGAATATAAAGATCTACGTACCATCGGATGATTGTAGACATCTCACCATAGTGACATCACAAACTGATGGATTGACAGTAGATTAATTTTTGACAACATGATCAAAATAGCATTGACAGATCCAGACGATACCCACAACAATCTTCATGTCCAAATGTTTATTCTATCTGTGTATGCTGACGAGCATAGCTAACCAGACCCCAGCAACCGCCACCACTACCCAGACCCCAGGGACCACCATCACCAGCATCCACAACCAAACCAACAGTTTCGACGAACCCCTACAACCCCGCATATACGTCGCAGCCCCCGAATGCCCCGACTTCCTCTTCTTCGTCTCCCTACTGCGCAGCAACGGCGAGCAGCACTGCGGAGGCTCCCTGATCGGCCCCTACTGGGTCCTGACCGCAGCCAGCTGCAACTACTTCCGGCTCTCGGCCACCGCTGGCCCCTACACCGAGGCAGTGCAGCGCATGTTCCCCCACCCCAGCTTCAGCATGCACAGCGTCGAGCACGACGTAGCGCTAGCGAAGCTTCAGAACGCCATCCCATCGCTGGCCGAGCAAGTAAGCTACGTCAGCTTGCCCAAGGACATTTTCGAGGGCGTTATAGAGAACGAGGTGTGTGCCAACGTGACTCTGATGGGTATGGGAAGGAGGGCCCCACTAGGAGCGTCGTCAGAGGAACTGGCGTGTCTTCAGGTGGGCACCATCACTTACGAAGCTTGCGCTGGGGAGTTCCCAGGTGTAACCATGCAGAAGGTAGTGATGTGTTCGCGGACGGAAGCGAAGCACGCTTGCGAGGGGGATACGGGGGGACCGGTGATGTGTGAAGGAGTCCAGTTCGGGATCATAAGTTGGGCTTGCGATTGCAAGGATGAGCACCCGGACGTTTTTACTAGGGTGGATAGGCATTTGGGGTTTATCGTAGCGACCGTCAAGCAAAATCGAGCGAGGAGGATGGGCTGCGGTGGGACGGTCTTCGTTGTTTTAGTTACGGTTGTTCAGTGTTTCGCTAATAAATGTTCATGAGATGAAAATCGTTTCAATGGAAAGAAGTTGAGAAGGAGATAGGTGTTGGTTATGACTTTATCTATTCACTTCCAGACAGATCAGTAGAAATAATTGAGAATAATTGATGATCTTAACTGTACCTTTTCCCTCAGGGGCTCACAACTTGTGAGTACGGGAATGGTGAAACCGAGTTACCCTATAGCCGGATATTCACCATATTTCTACTTGTCTTGGGTGATATCTTCTTATCTCTTCCTTCGCGGATGATAGTACCCTCCATACCGCCTTCTCTTACAGGGCTCCAATACCAGCCAGGCAAATTAGAAACGAACGAGGGAGAAATGTTGACAACATAAATATGGACTTGGCAACAATTCTCGAATGTGGGACCAATAACTTTGTAGATTTCAATAGAAAACCAAACACAAGCATGCATTTTCTCTAGAAAAGCCGATCTCACTGTGCTCAACATATAAGCTTGTCAGGAGTAACCATACCTTTGAAGACATCCATTTCGATGCTCAGTATTACTATCAGCAATAACCTTTCTTGGGAAAATCACGTGAGATCAATTGCTAAAAGTGCATGCCAAAAACTTGGTTTTCTATTTCGGGCCAGGAGCTATTTCACTTCCAGTCAGCTGCTAATGATCTATAAGGCACATATCCGACCTGTCCTGGAATACTATTCCCATATTCGGAGTGCAGCACCCAAACATACCCTGAAACTGTTGGATTCAGTCCAAAAAACGGCAATTCGTCTCGTGGGCGATGCCTCGCTCACAAACTCACTCACTTCTCTGGAGCACCGTAGAAAAGTTATATATCCATGGACGATGCTCTTCTGAAATATCAACAATTGTTCCTCCCTTGGCAGTCCCCGCGAGATTAAGCCGTCGAGTTGAGGCTTCGCACCCCTTCGTGGTCACTTTGGAGACCTGCAGAACATCTCTTTCCAAAGACTCGTTTATCCAACGAACAGCGAGGCTCTGGAACACATTGCCCAGGAAGGTGTTCCCCGAGGCATATAACCTCCAGAAATTTGAGAAGAACACCAATTCCTAACTCATTTCCCTTGGTTCTCACGATGTTCTCTGAACATTACAGGATATCTCTTTTCGTGGGAACCAGAACATAAAAAAAATCCTATCGACCTTCCTTGGCCAACTTCTCTTTTCCTTTTCCCCTCCAAGCCCATTCGCACCATTAAGTGGTGTGGGGAAGACAGATCGCAGCTGCTCAACAGACGAAGCATTTTGGCACCATCTTTGCTGTTTTGCGCCAGATGGGACCATAGTTTGTGGACATCTGGGACACGGTTGAGGCCATTTGATAATATCTATCTAGGTGGCGGAGGACTGGTCAACGAGGCTCTGGCAACCTAATCCAAGCTGTGGGAACTCGTAGCGATGGATGAAAGGTACCGAGATGTGGTGTCGCTAACGGGGCCTCTGGGAAATAGGGCGATATCTCAGAGTAAACAACTTTCGCCCTATAGAGGAAGTACCACTGGGCTGGACCAACCTCTTCCCTCCTTAATCGTAGGAGAAGGAAAACTGTTGGTCTTCTTTGTAGAGGAGAACAGGAATCGGAAGAGTAATCTTCAAGAACCTGAACGAGAAGGGCCATTCGTATATGGTGAAATTGATAACGACATGTTAGTGAGATACTATGAACCACTAGGCCTTAGTGTCGTTGGAGACTTCATTCGGACGAGTCTACAAACGGGGTGGAGTGTTCAGTGGCTATACCCTGGAGTCAGGGGACTCCCACACTATAAAATGAAGAATTCGCCCCATATGATGTCCATAAGCAAATGGGTACAACTCGGATTACTGGTCAGATCTTTCAAAGATTCGAACCCATTTGGGTGAATACCATACCATATAATAGAAACCAACAGCGCATTATGATTCGCCATATGTATTCATCAGTGAACCAGTACCACTTACAGTGATTTTGGTAGAAGTTGATTGAAGATGTCATGTAGTTTTCGTAGTCTCCATTTAATTGGTAATATTCCTGATATTTTTTGAGCTTTTGAGAGGACAATGAATAGTTTTGTTGTATAGAGATCGCAATCAACGTAAGTCTGAATAAATCCGATATTCATACACCGCTATCTAGTTCGAAAACATTGTTCTTTAGTCTTATGTAGAAGTCCATACTTTTCTCTAAGTGATGAAAGGGTTCGAAAACACAAAATCATCTCCACAACGTTTAATAATCGAAGGATTATTTAGGGGAACATGTTTCGGACATTCATGTGTCCATCATCAGCCTTAATCCTCACAAACCAAAGGTCGTGGGGATGAAAAAAACATTATGAAAAACTTTGAATGAAGCTATTGTGCAAAGCACCAGATAAGGGTCAGGTTATTTGTAAAGGGGTTCTGTGCCCCTATGAGGACGTATATGATCAATATTATTTGATGGCAAAACCAACTTTTGGAAAAAATCGAGGAAAACGGTGGATTCAAATAATTACTCGAAAACAAACCTACATCCTCAGATGATGTAGGTTTGTTTTCGATTAGTTTTTTTTGTTTTTTCCCCAAAGCTGGTTCTACCATTAATAATTATTGATCATGTACGTCCTCATAGGGGCACAGGACCCCTTCACAATTAACCTGACCCTCAACCGGTGCTTTGCACAATAATTTTATTCAAAGTTTTTTTTAATGTTTTTTTCATTCCCAATTAAGGTTCTCTACCCCTTTCATTGTTCTTTAGGTAAATTAACAGAATATTATTGGCCTAATATTTTTTTGTACAATAATGTCAGTTTGATTTCAAATGTAATGTGGTGGTACCAGAGTAGCTTGTTGAAGATTCAATGCAGTAAGTCTATTATGCGGAAAAATATAAATTCGAAATGTTTCAAATAATTTTTGCATGATAGCGATTTCACGAGTTGGCGATGGAGAGTGATCTAAAATGGTAAAACCAACTATATTTGATATAGGGTGCCCATTTATATACACAGCCGAGACAACCTATGCTGTTTACTTATGAAATGAAAAACAGAAGGAGCATCAGATAGGAAAGGTTCAAAAGTATATATACGTTTCGCATAACGCTCGGAAAATGCAAATTATAAGTGAATTTTCTTCTGAACTGCAGAGTCAATCTTATATGCGCTCCGAAAGGATGTAAAAAAGGTCGTAAAACGGGTTAGTTTTTTTTTAGGCAAGCCTGTTTCGGAATAACTTAATATATCAAAAGATATCGCGCATTCACTTATAAAGGGCAACGAAATGCATTGCAAGATATTTCCACGATACTCCCCATTTTTTGATGTACACAAGCAATATAGTAAGGTTCAACTCACCCTTTGGAAAGATGAAATTGTAGTCGACATACCTGAAACAAAATTCACGAAATTAGTAAATTTAACTATAATATTCTTGGCGAATCAAATGTTCATTATATCTAGGTATCAAAGCAAAAAGAGGTTACTAATTTTGCACATATTTCTGATTTGAATCAACCTTCTGATTGTATCAGATAATTTATCGTGTTTGTTTCAACAAGCATATGTTGCAAACAGAAAGTTAGAAAGGAAAAAAAAATTGTAGGGTGAATTCTTTCATACAACTGTGTGTGATGGAACATATAATAAATTTTGATGAAAAACATCAGAGTCATTATTTTCACCACAGAATAATAACATTGATCTTGTTCATCGTAAAACGAGACTCTGTATGATACCTAGACTATAATATCGAGTATGCTCTGAAACGGACATGCCAGAGTTCTGGATGGAAATGTCTAGTCTTGTTGCCGCTTCAAAGCATACTAGCAAGGGATGGCCTGGAATCTGGATCGCTCACAACCAAACGGAAAGTTCCTGCGCAAACAATATTTATGAAGGGAGCTGACGAAGTTAGGAAACACTGGACATTATAAGACACTGGTTAGCTGATTGTATAGCAAATTCGCAAATACGAACTAGGAAGGATTTAAGAATCTCTATAATATAGACCACTTTTCACTCTTTTTCAAATAAAAAAAAAAAAAGAAAATACAAGTCCGATTGGGAAACGGTTTGTTCCATGTTGTAGAAAAACTCATAAGGAAAATGATAATGTAATATTTTCATCTTGAGTTTCAAGTTGCTACACATTCTGGGCATTATGAGATTATTTTGGGGAGCATTGATATCTATCTGGTCATGAAGAAAATTTCGATACATGAGGATTGATCTAGATCTAGATCACTGATTTGACATTCAGAAAGGAATCAAACGACATGAAGTCAATATTGGATAAAATATTCTGTTAACATGTCATCAGTAGATGAAAAATGATAACAGGAATGATATAAATTATTCTACAACAATTTATTGAGCATTCAAAGTTCAAATCACAATATGCATGACTGAATCTCACGTTTCTTTGGTATCTCGAATAACCCTGTGGATGGATATTCGCTCAATTCAGAGAAATTGAAGTGATGAATTCCCCCCTGAATCGATTTCATGAAAAAACTCTCCCATTTCATGAACAGATCAGCTGAAATTGAGGACATTTCAAAAAATCGTCAATTTTACATAAAAAAAGATGTTGCATGTTAATGAAGTATGCTAGCGAAAAAATCTCGAAACCGTTTCGGCAAAACACATCAAGCATTCGAAATCGTCTTCCGTCAACGCACTATCAGACGAATTTTGCTTGGTCTCAAAACGAATAAGGCTAACGGTACTGATGGAATTCCACCCATTATCCTCAAAAAATGTGCACCAGAATTAACACTGATTCTCTGCAAGTTGTTTACCGTCTCGTACAGGTCGGGTATTTTTCCATCATGCTGGAAGACAGCTAGAGTCCAACCAATCCCCAAAAAAGGGAACAAGAACCTGCCCAACAACTACAGGCCCATTGCCCTGTTATCAGTAATCTCCAAAGTGATAGAGAAAGCCATCAACATTGAGCTTATCAAATATCTGGAGAGATCAGGAATCATCAATGATAGACAATACGGCTTTCGCCACCGAAGATCTACTGGAGATCTACTTGCCTACGTCACCC